GCACTGGAACTCAGGGCAGTCTTTCAGTAGATGGTCTGGGCTCGTGCACAGCCGACAGGTTTTAACCTGGTGACTGTGCACCACCCTGAAATACTGTGGCCCTTCTGCCGTTTCCATCTTGGTGCTATATGGCAGTGATGCCACCTCTTTGGGGAACCTCACTTTTAGGAACCTTGTTCCGTCCTCTATGTCAGTGCCCGGATACCTTCTTCTTTTTATTTTTGAGATGGGAGTAACTCTCCATCCTTCCAATTTTTCAAAAATTTCATCATCATCAAGATAGACGGGCAGGTGCATGAAGGAAACAACATAGTCTCTGTTTTGCAGATTTTTCACTTCACATTTCACTCCTTTTATTTCCAGTCCATCAGTAAGTTTGTCACACATTTCTTCTTTTTCCATTGTCAGTTCATATTCCTTTCCTTGTCTTGGTCTTAGCGCCAAAATTCCACCATGTCCACATAATTCCGTTACAGCTTTGATGATATCCTCCGCTCTTACCTCGATCACGTTTTCCACATTAACAATCACTGTAGCCTCTTTTAAATATTTCCTTTCACTGTTTTTGTTTCTCGCATCTCGGGTGTTTCCATCTCTCACTCGTGGTCGATTATCCAGTCCATTATCGTTTGCCTTGCGTGTTCCTCCTGCCAGTCCAGTGTCGAATGCCGTGCGTCTTCCTCCTGCCAGTCCATTGTCGTTTGCCTTGCGTGTTCCTCCTGCCAGTCCAGTGTCGATTGCCGTGCGCCTTCCTCCTGCCAGTCCATTGTCGTTTGCCTTGCGTGTTCCTCCTGCCAGTCCAGTGTCGTTTGCCGTTAATCCGTCCATGATTGCAAAAAAAACAAAAACAAAAAACCACCCTCCAGCCAGCCAAAGCTGCTGTTAGGTGGTTTAAAAAACAAAAAAACAAACAAAAAGCGAACTTAAAGTAACAAAACCTCACAAAACAAACAAATTGACAAAAAACAAAATGGGGGAGAGCCTTCCTCTCCCAACTACTGCCACACAACTTCCTGGATTGTACCACTAGGGCGTTCTCAAGGTGGTATGGCCGTAAGCGAAATCTGCTGCCAAAATTGGGCTATTTGAATGGTTAGAACATTAGGGTAGTAAACTATATAAAGCTTACAGCACCTGGTATTCCCAGGCGGTCTCCCATCCAAGTACTAACCAGGCCCGACCCTGCTTAGCTTCCGAGATCAGACGAGTTCGGGCGTTTTCAAGGTGGTATGGCCGTAAGCGAAATCTGCTGCCAAAATTGGGCTATTTGAATGGTTAGAACATTAGGGTAGTAAACTATATAAAGCTTACAGCACCTGGTATTCCCAGGCGGTCTCCCATCCAAGTACTAACCAGGCCCGACCCTGCTTAGCTTCCGAGATCAGACGAGTTCGGGCGTTTTCAAGGTGGTATGGCCGTAAGCCAAATCTGCTGCCAAAATTGGGCTATTTGAATGGTTAGAACATTAGGGTAGTAAACTATATAAAGCTTACAGCACCTGGTATTCCCAGGCGGTCTCCCATCCAAGTACTAACCAGGCCCGACCCTGCTTAGCTTCCGAGATCAGACGAGTTCGGGCGTTTTCAAGGTGGTATGGCCGTAAGCCAAATCTGCTGCCAAAATTGGGCTATTTGAATGGTTAGAACATTAGGGTAGTAAACTATATAAAGCTTACAGCACCTGGTATTCCCAGGCGGTCTCCCATCCAAGTACTAACCAGGCCCGACCCTGCTTAGCTTCCGAGATCAGACGAGTTCGGGCGTTTTCAAGGTGGTATGGCCGTAAGCCAAATCTGCTGCCAAAATTGGGCTATTTGAATGGTTAGAACATTAGGGTAGTAAACTATATAAAGCTTACAGCACCTGGTATTCCCAGGCGGTCTCCCATCCAAGTACTAACCAGGCCCGACCCTGCTTAGCTTCCGAGATCAGACGAGTTCGGGCGTTTTCAAGGTGGTATGGCCGTAAGCGAAATCTGCTGCCAAAATTGGGCTATTTGAATGGTTAGAACATTAGGGTAGTAAACTATATAAAGCTTACAGCACCTGGTATTCCCAGGCGGTCTCCCATCCAAGTACTAACCAGGCCCGACCCTGCTTAGCTTCCGAGATCAGACGAGTTCGGGCGTTTTCAAGGTGGTATGGCCGTAAGCCAAATCTGCTGCCAAAATTGGGCTATTTGAATGGTTAGAACATTAGGGTAGTAAACTATATAAAGCTTACAGCACCTGGTATTCCCAGGCGGTCTCCCATCCAAGTACTAACCAGGCCCGACCCTGCTTAGCTTCCGAGATCAGACGAGTTCGGGCGTTTTCAAGGTGGTATGGCCGTAAGCGAAATCTGCTGCCAAAATTGGGCTATTTGAATGGTTAGAACATTAGGGTAGTAAACTATATAAAGCTTACAGCACCTGGTATTCCCAGGCGGTCTCCCATCCAAGTACTAACCAGGCCCGACCCTGCTTAGCTTCCGAGATCAGACGAGTTCGGGCGTTTTCAAGGTGGTATGGCCGTAAGCGAAATCTGCTGCCAAAATTGGGCTATTTGAATGGTTAGAACATTAGGGTAGTAAACTATATAAAGCTTACAGCACCTGGTATTCCCAGGCGGTCTCCCATCCAAGTACTAACCAGGCCCGACCCTGCTTAGCTTCCGAGATCAGACGAGTTCGGGCGTTTTCAAGGTGGTATGGCCGTAAGCGAAATCTGCTGCCAAAATTGGGCTATTTGAATGGTTAGAACATTAGGGTAGTAAACTATATAAAGCTTACAGCACCTGGTATTCCCAGGCGGTCTCCCATCCAAGTACTAACCAGGCCCGACCCTGCTTAGCTTCCGAGATCAGACGAGTTCGGGCGTTTTCAAGGTGGTATGGCCGTAAGCCAAATCTGCTGCCAAAATTGGGCTATTTGAATGGTTAGAACATTAGGGTAGTAAACTATATAAAGCTTACAGCACCTGGTATTCCCAGGCGGTCTCCCATCCAAGTACTAACCAGGCCCGACCCTGCTTAGCTTCCGAGATCAGACGAGTTCGGGCGTTTTCAAGGTGGTATGGCCGTAAGCCAAATCTGCTGCCAAAATTGGGCTATTTGAATGGTTAGAACATTAGGGTAGTAAACTATATAAAGCTTACAGCACCTGGTATTCCCAGGCGGTCTCCCATCCAAGTACTAACCAGGCCCGACCCTGCTTAGCTTCCGAGATCAGACGAGTTCGGGCGTTTTCAAGGTGGTATGGCCGTAAGCGAAATCTGCTGCCAAAATTGGGCTATTTGAATGGTTAGAAACTCATTTTCAGGGTAGTAAACTATATAAAGCTTACAGCACCTGGTATTCCCAGGCGGTCTCCCATCCAAGTACTAACCAGGCCCGACCCTGCTTAGCTTCCGAGATCAGACGAGTTCGGGCGTTTTCAAGGTGGTATGGCCGTAAGCCAAATCTGCTGCCAAAATTGGGCTATTTGAATGGTTAGAACATTAGGGTAGTAAACTATATAAAGCTTACAGCACCTGGTATTCCCAGGCGGTCTCCCATCCAAGTACTAACCAGGCCCGACCCTGCTTAGCTTCCGAGATCAGACGAGTTCGGGCGTTTTCAAGGTGGTATGGCCGTAAGCCAAATCTGCTGCCAAAATTGGGCTATTTGAATGGTTAGAACATTAGGGTAGTAAACTATATAAAGCTTACAGCACCTGGTATTCCCAGGCGGTCTCCCATCCAAGTACTAACCAGGCCCGACCCTGCTTAGCTTCCGAGATCAGACGAGTTCGGGCGTTTTCAAGGTGCTTAGCTATGACGAGTTCCGTAAGCCGTAAATCTGCTGCCAAAATTGGGCTATTTGAATGGTTAGAACATTAGGGTAGTAAACTATATAAAGCTTACAGCACCTGGTATTCCCAGGCGGTCTCCCATCCAAGTACTAACCAGGCCCGACCCTGCTTAGCTTCCGAGATCAGACGAGTTCGGGCGTTTTCAAGGTGGTATGGCCGTAAGCCAAATCTGCTGCCAAAATTGGGCTATTTGAATGGTTAGAACATTAGGGTAGTAAACTATATAAAGCTTACAGCACCTGGTATTCCCAGGCGGTCTCCCATCCAAGTACTAACCAGGCCCGACCCTGCTTAGCTTCCGAGATCAGACGAGTTCGGGCGTTTTCAAGGTGGTATGGCCGTAAGCGAAATCTGCTGCCAAAATTGGGCTATTTGAATGGTTAGAACATTAGGGTAGTAAACTATATAAAGCTTACAGCACCTGGTATTCCCAGGCGGTCTCCCATCCAAGTACTAACCAGGCCCGACCCTGCTTAGCTTCCGAGATCAGACGAGTTCGGGCGTTTTCAAGGTGGTATGGCCGTAAGCGAAATCTGCTGCCAAAATTGGGCTATTTGAATGGTTAGAACATTAGGGTAGTAAACTATATAAAGCTTACAGCACCTGGTATTCCCAGGCGGTCTCCCATCCAAGTACTAACCAGGCCCGACCCTGCTTAGCTTCCGAGATCAGACGAGTTCGGGCGTTTTCAAGGTGGTATGGCCGTAAGCGAAATCTGCTGCCAAAATTGGGCTATTTGAATGGTTAGAACATTAGGGTAGTAAACTATATAAAGCTTACAGCACCTGGTATTCCCAGGCGGTCTCCCATCCAAGTACTAACCAGGCCCGACCCTGCTTAGCTTCCGAGATCAGACGAGTTCGGGCGTTTTCAAGGTGGTATGGCCGTAAGCCAAATCTGCTGCCAAAATTGGGCTATTTGAATGGTTAGAACATTAGGGTAGTAAACTATATAAAGCTTACAGCACCTGGTATTCCCAGGCGGTCTCCCATCCAAGTACTAACCAGGCCCGACCCTGCTTAGCTTCCGAGATCAGACGAGTTCGGGCGTTTTCAAGGTGGTATGGCCGTAAGCCAAATCTGCTGCCAAAATTGGGCTATTTGAATGGTTAGAACATTAGGGTAGTAAACTATATAAAGCTTACAGCACCTGGTATTCCCAGGCGCACTCTCCTCTAAGTCCCTATACTGACCAATCATTGAGTGCCGTTGAGCAAGTTGAGGAGCTCAATCAACCAATCATTGAGCGCCGTTGAGCAGGCTGCTTCCTCAACCCACCAATCAGATGGCCTCATTGACTGACCGTGTCAAATGCATAATCGGAGTGACAAGAGTAAACAATCGCTGCTATCATCAGTGGACTGAGATCGGTGACAGCAAACAAGAGGTAAATTCAGTATATTCTCCAGTATATTCATATGCTTTCTAACAGTTCTTTTTCTGCATGGATTTACGTGCAGTAATTACAAAGTTATTAACTGTTAAAGTTTAAAAAGCATTAACGTTAATAGGGAAAATATAATCGCGCATCTACTAACATGAATAGTAAACTGTAGTAATTATGTATAGTCTTTGTAATGTTTTACTAAAAAAGTAAATGCTTTGAAAATACCCAAACACAACCAGGGCTGGGCATTAGGATTACTATCCAAATACAGGTAACGTTAGATGTTACCTATGACTAGTAACGCTATAGGTCACCAGTTTGTCCTGTTGCAATTGACTACATACTGTACATTTAAATAGTTTAATAGGCCTGTTTTGTCCAGCTATCCTCTCCACTAATCTAAGCTATTTTGTCTCATAGTAACTGATAAGCCATTAACAGTCAATAACATGTTAAAACACTGAAAACACAAGGCAAGCAAAAATATAGTCTAAAATGATAAAACCATTACCTTTTGAACTTTCAGCTAATCACATTAAATATCACATTAAAAGGTAAATCAGATAACATCTATAAAGATTACAGTACTTTTTTTTTTTTTTTATTATTTCACACCTTTTTACTTCTAAGCAATAGTAATAGCAGTACTATTACTTGTGTACATGTTTTGCATCTCCTGGTCTTCCAGTGTTTAGTCCCCTGTGCAGTTTGGAAAGAAGAAACTAATCTGAATCTGTTTCTGTTTTATAACAACAGATAAAAAGCATGGATTTGGCGGGACACAAGTGCAGTGTATGTGACAGGAGTTTCTCAGTGAAGTCCAACCTGACTCGGCACATGCAGCTTCATGGTCCGAAGGAACATGTGTGTGAAGTGTGTGGGAAAAGCTTCTCACTGAAACAGCAGCTGAGCAGCCACCAAAAACAGCACCTGTATCCATGCATCCGTCTGTACAGGCAGGGAGAGGCCAAGCTGCAGTGTACGGATGCAGCTAAGAGTGTGGCAATGGGCCCCAGCAAAGCAGTAGACCCCAGCTGTCTGGATTCAGAAAAGGCGGAGGCTGCTGCAAAGAAATCTGGAGGGGAAATGTGGAAAGGCCAGCTAGTTGTCACATTCGGCAAATATGCAGGCCAGTCTTTCAGGTGGCTGCTTGAAAATGATGTGGGCTGGGTCATATGGCTGCTGTCTGAATATTGTCAGAAGGGTGAGAAGAACGATCTCCTAAAGTGGCAAAAGGAGCGATTGCTGCAGTATGCCAGAGAGTTTCCGCCTGTCACCTTCCATCTTGACAAACGCATGGAGGTAACTTTGACCCTTTAACTGAGATTAAATAATATTTACCTTTTTATATTTAATTTATTTATATTTTGTTTATTAAAAATTGAGTGCATGTGTAAATCAGTAAGGCACATGTAACACACCTTCAATAGTAAAATCATCAATGTTTACTCTGCACAAAAGCTTGTGCTTTAGACATAGGAAGAGGTAACAGTATAAGTATTTGTGTTTATGTGGTACAATACAACTTTGTATGTGTTTTTCTACACTTTCTTTATTTTCTGCATGAACAGGAGTCAAGGAAAGACAAAGGAAAGAAGGCTGAATCTACCCTTTCTAAGTTCCAGCAGGATCCTGACTATGCCAGTGATGCTGAATTGTTGGCAGCTGCTGGTAATTAACATTTAACACACCATAACTCTATTTTAAAATTCATAGAGCATTTTCTTTCTTACTGATGTATTTCAGACATCTGACTAAATACACTGCATACACAAATATCACACATTGTATGGCACTGATAATGACGACAGTAGGTTTAGTGTTTCACTTTCATTTTCAGCAGGATGAGGGATATTATCAAGCTAGCTGCCCTTTTTCAGTGTAACAGATTTAATGTCTAAATGATTTGTTGGCATTTAGATAACACATACAAAAATCAATTTAATTTGTAGATGTGATATGTTGGATTTTTTTTTTATTATATTACAATATTTTTTTAACTATTGCCTATATTTTTGTAGCAACTCTAATGTATACTAAAATGTTTGTATCAAATATAATTTGTGTTCTCTAAAATAAGATCTGATAACATGGAAAATAGAAACAAACTTTGTTTATTGTGATAATGCTTGTGTTTGTCATTATATTTACATCTTAAGCAATGTGCTCAATACATTTTGTCTGATTTTTTCTACAGAGACTGTCCTTGAAGAGTCTGAGGTAGCGGTCTCCACACAGCTGACCACCTGGGGAGAGCTCACACCGGCCGTGAGTCAGGACTCTTCCCACGGCCTCAGCGCATCTCAGGGAAGAGCTTCTTCCCCTGTAGACACCTCTGCCTCTGGCTTCTTGCTGGAGGGCTGGCAGAAATACTGGGAGCATCCACCTCCATCTACACAAGCCAATGGTATAGCTCCTCCTAACATCAAGTGGCTGAAATATGATGAGATGTATGGTCTGTTTGAGAGACCTTCCAAGTACAAAAATGCCAAAGGAGAGATTGTGGAGAGAAGGCTTTTAAAGGAGAAGATGGAGTTCCACCCACCCCCAATTCCTACTTCTGTCAAGGGAGGACTGCCCAACATGATGGCCTTTTTCACCACCCCTGTCTTCTTCTGGCGCCCAGTTGGTGTGATGCAAGCCAAGATCCGCTGCCCTAGCTCCAACTGCCCTGCACCACCAGGTGAATACCTTGAGAAGAAAGGTTTTGGTAGTTATGCCAGGCAAGTGTGTGGGATGAAGTACAATTACACCTTGTTGACAGAGAAGCTGAAGTGTTCACATTGTGAAAAGATGAGGCGGGCAGTGAGTAAGACACATAATGACGCAGACAGTGAAGATGAGGACAGTCATCATGTTCAACAGTACATTTGGCTGGCACACAGTCCCAAGATCCTGATGAACTTGGCCCCTGCCATCAGAAGCATGTTTCCTGCCATACTGTGTGGGAAGCGTGCCATTGACAAAGGTGTGGTTACTCTTCTGAATGACAGGGTCAACAGTGTGTCCATGAACAAAGTCCAGAGACTGCTGCAGCAGGGACATGATGAGTGGTACGTGGAGCGCCGTGACCTGTACCAGACTCTCCTGTACGAAGCCCACACAGCTGGATCTGCATCGTCTCAGAAGAGCATCCTGTCCTTTGTCAAAGCTGCTGGTACTTACACCCCTCCTCTGCCCCGGACTCCCCTTCCTTCTGCCCGTGTGCTGAGGCGTGCACACATGATCATGGAGATGGAGAAGATGCCTGTGTACAGAGCCTCAATCCTCAGTGTGACTGGAGAAATCCTCTGCATTGATGGTACAAAAAAGGTATGTGTATTGTATCAATTCATGAAGTTAAGCAGACTTAATATTTACTTAGTCACTTTAAAGTGACTTGAGCCAGCTTATTGTTTTGAATTAGAGACTTTGGCCTCACTGTTCAGCTTTCAAATGTGATGTGATAATAAATATAAATAATATTGGGCAGACAGGTTATTGATAGAAACTATCAAATGAATGTTCTGCTTTGTATTTTCCAGGTCCTTAAGAAGATATATGGTGATGGCCAGGGCACCATGCAGTATGTCACCAGTGTGCTGAACGAGTGGGGTCAGTTCTTGACCACGGTGGTGGTGGCAGCTGAGTCTGAGGGGTGCTACAGACGTATGGCCAAAGGTCTGATGGCCCGCTTTGAACGAGCTAGGGCTCCTGCACCAACTGCCATATATGCAGACAACAACTGTTGTCGGTAGGTTATAACACATCCATATACCCTGATAAAATGTGTCATTAATTTAATGTTAAAAAAAAGAAGAAAACACATGCTGAATTTATATTCTTTCAGTGACAGTGGTTCGTCCTTCCTGGAGAATCTGTTCGGGGGCTGGGTGCAGAAGGGCACTGTGGTCAGACTGGACATCCGACACTGGCTGCACCGCTGGGATGCTGTTGTCATCAAACAGAGCCATGCCAAGTATGGGGTGTTCATGAGTGCCCTGGCAGGTGCAGTGCTGGCCTACAACAAGGACGATATGATGCTCCTAATCCAGGCAGTCAGGAAGGGCAACCAGGAGTTGTACGCCAGTCTTTCAGATGAGGACATGATAGCCTTCCTCAAACCTCACCAGATCAGGTCCTATGTCAGACGGATCACCCGTGGGGTTGAGGTAAGTGTAAAATTAATCCATGTATAATCTTTATGCATAAGAAGCTCAAAACATTCTTCACTAAAATTAACTAAGTTGTCACACTGCTATATTTCATTTAGAAAATACTTCCAATTATTGACACAATTTCACATTTTAAGCGATATAACTTTATAAAATAAATGTAAATGATTGTTACAGGAGACAGCTTCAGCAATTGACTCCATCATTACGGAGTTCAAGGGACCTGCAGGCCTTGACATTGATGGAATCCACCTTTTCAAATCAGCACAGGCAGTGGATTCTCACTGGGCAACTGCAAGCAAGCATCTTAGTTGTATGCAGGTGGGTAAACATTTTTGAACTAATCTTTGTATAATCATATAAACTCAAACTCACAGACACCATAATAAATTAGCAACTTATGTTTTATAGGACCCCCCTGGCATACAGCTGTATGTGTCAGTGAAGGTGGTGGTGCTGAATGGTGTCCGCCTGAACAAGTACAGGTGTCGGCGAGGCAGTAACTCCTTGGAGGGCTTGCACTCACACCTGTACAATGCCATTCCCTCACAGAGATGTGGAGTTATCCCATTCCAAGTAAGTATAAACAGCTTTAATATAAAAAAATATTGATTACACATCATTGTTCATAGGCATATTTTACCTGTATCCTCCCTGCTTTTGTGCTACCCTCTCCTCCTATGCTGTTCACATAGCATCAACTGGGTGTATGAGATGCACACATACAAAATAACCTATTGTGGACAAAAGACATTAATTTTTGTAATCAAAATTAGTTTCTGATGTACAATAATGCATGAATGGTCATGTCTTTCAGGTGTATCTGATTGCATTTGCTGTGCAGTGGAACAGCCGCATGGAATCACTCCGGGTTGCTGGTGGTCATGGCAGGCAGACGTGGTGTATGGACCCGCGGCAGATTCAGCGTCTGAATCAGCAGGCTGAGGTGCTCTTCGGTAAAGAGCATGTCCTCGAGCCCAACTTTGCCGCTCCAATGCCCTACCCTGCTGTATACAAGGACCCAGACGAGGAGGAGCTGCTTGGAGTAGAGTATGCCATGTGCCAGTCAACCAGCTTCACTGCAAGGGATTACTATGCCCAGCAAGGTACACAATCTTGCATTATAACAATATACATACATTAGGGGTGTAATGGTTCACAAAATTCAGGGATCGGTTCGATACGATGCACTTTTTCTCTGAGCAATGATGGAGCTATGCTTGCCTTTTCTTAGAAGCTTATAAAACATAACAGCACCTTGCACAAAATGAAATGTAATATTGTAGTAGTTATAAACAAAGGTTTATTTTAGTTCAGATTAACATTTGAGGGCAGCAACTGTATTCATAATGTCAAAATAAAACCAACGTAATGTTACTTGAAAGCATTATAGCCTACTATTCCTGCCAAACTCCCATGTTTACAGTTTTACTACAGTAAACCCATGGGGAATGTTGCTGATCTGTGGACACTGAGTAGTTCATTCATGGCACAATGTTTCTTCCTGGTTTCCACGTCAGCGCTGTTTGATCCGTTAATAACGGAGAAATGTGAATGTTTGTCAAAGGATCTCGCAGCTATGTTATAACCTCAATAGAGAATTCAAATGCTTTCTTTACTGGATGTCTCAGCGCTTTGTAGTAACAGTGCATCAGCATCTCGAGTGCGCTTGCCATGCGCAACGCGCCTACATTTGAAATAATGAAATTTTGGTCGGCAGGAAAAATGGTCCAACGAACCGTTCTGTTGAAAACAGTTCGATACGAATACGTGTCGTTACACCCTAACATACAGACTAAGTGGCAAATAACTATAAATATCATGCATGTTCTATCCATGACAAGTATGGATGATGTAGTTAATTTTATTTTACATAATATGAAACAAAAGAACTGCAGCATTGCCCTGTTGTATTAATTAGTCTACTGTTAGATGTTGTAACTGCCTAGACACACTGGTGATTAGTACATCACATATTTGCAGTTGAGGAAGAGCAGTCCCGTGAAGAAGAGGAGACGGCTGAACAAAGTGAGGACAAGCTGGCAGATGAGGGTGTGGACGTGGGTGCAGAGTCAGAGGATGATCCTATGGACACTGTCAGTGACAAACATGTCATCCTCACTCAATTAGAACAGGTGGAGGAGGAGGACAGTCCTGCTCTGCAGGATGTGCTCATGACCAAGAGCCATCTGCATCTTCCTGGGCTGGAGGAAGTGGAAGCCTTGGCCCTGCTCCTTTTAGAACTGGCAGACAACAGTGACCGTCACCTAGTGCCAGCTGACCTAAGGCTGAAGATTGGCACTGCAGTTGGTGCTCTGCATGAGCATGACAGGTCTGCAGCCAACTTTGTAAAAAGGTATGAGTCTAGGTGGGGTTACACCCTGTTTGGCAGATGCTTGGGAGCTGACACACCTGAGAACAGAGCAGCACAGAAGACAAAGTTTTCCTGGATGAGGTACCCTCAGGCAGCCCAGGTGACTGAGGATAGTCGTCTGTTGTACCTCATTATTAAGATGCTGAAAAACCGGCCAACCAGCCAGTCGTCTCACCTCCCCCACTAAAATCACCAATGCAATCAAGGGCCAGTATAAAAGGATTGTAGACCGAGTCAGAGACGATCCCATCCTCAGGTCTCTCCATTCCTCTGCCCAATCTGAATGCCAAGTCCATCTCTACATTCATGGCACGGGAAGAGAAGAAGGCTAACTACAGGGCAACAGTAATGCCAAAGGTGAAACCCACCAAAGTGCTGTCAGAAGAACCAATGCCAGCAGCTCCTACTCTGCCAGAATCCCTACCAGCTCCAGATCGACCTCAGGTTCAGTACCAGAGCCTACGTCATACTGCTGGGAAAAGGCATGGTCAGAAGCGGAGGTAAGTTTGTTCAGTTCTTCATTTCACAAGTATGTGACTTTACCTATTTTATTACAATATGTAAACATGTCTGAATTTATCAGCTGAATGGTTTAAACTTAAACACAACAAACCATGTGAATTGCTAGTCGTATAAATTATTTCTCATGAATTATATCGCATGTATGATTTATTTTTGCAGGGTAGATGTGGAAGAGCCGGAGCTTGTGAACCGGCCCATTCAACCTAAACCCCTTGTTACATCCCACCGAGAGCGTCAGCAGCACCTGTCCTGGTAGTGGTTCCTGCACAGCCACAGGGACGCTCTCCATGATGCTCTGTGGGGCATCCAGAAGTCAAGGCTTCATACCTTTCGCACCGCCTCCTGCGCTGACATCCAGACCAATCAAGCCTCATAAATCAATGAAGCCTTGTGGGGCCTGCCAAGTACCAGTGTGGTGGGCAGCGTAAGAGATACACGCCCTCAAAGACAAGGCAGCTGAAAGTAGGCAAAAAATATTTACTTATTGCCCAGCAACTAGGAAGTCCACCACTTCAGGTTTTGAAGGTGTTGTGTTCAACAGTTTTGAACACTTCAAAAGTGTTGTAGACGAGGAACTAAAAAAAAAAAAAAATAATGACAAGTAGAGAGCCAGCCCACATCTGCAACTATCCAAATCACAATAGCAGATTTCTGGGTATGGTTTGGACCTGGTTCAGACCTGGATAAGACCTAGTTTAGATTTTGCCCTAGTTTGGACATGATTTAGACCTGGTTCAATCCCAGTTGTACTTACCTACAACCCCAATTCAACAATGAAGTTGGGACATTGTGTAAAACGTAAATAAAAACAGAATACAATGATTTGTAAATCCTTTTCAACCTATTTTCAATTGAATACACCACAAAGACAAGATATTTAATGTTCAAATGATAAACTTTATTGTTTTTTTGCAAATATTCCCTCCATTTGAATTTGATGCCTACAACATGTTCCAAAAAGCTGTATCTTGTCTTTGTAGTATATTAAATGAAATGTAAGTTGAAAAGGATTTGCAAATGAATGTATTATGGTTTATTTAAGTTTTACACAACGTCCCAACTTCATTGGAATTGGGGTTGTAATTTAGTCCTGATTTAGACATGGTGTGGTTTAGTCAGAATTACCTGTGCACAGACATTTACACGTCCTCAACATTATTTGCACTTTGTGCGTTACAACGCAATTTAATTTGCCATGTTATTTATATTCTCATAATAAGGCTAAAATATAATAAGTCATATGGCTACAATATCCGCCTCTTATACAGATTCATTATAACATCTATAAAACACATACCTATTTTCTCATTGTCTGCCATCAAATCAGAACAGTGGGAAAAAAGATGTGTTTTTAGTGAATGTAAGTATCTGCTTAACATTGCATACTCATCCCTTGTAATATATTGTACGTATATTTAATATTGCTCAATGTGTACATGTATAAATCTTGTAAATATATATATAAATCCTGTAAATAATAACTTATTAGTACATATTTTGCTATATTTTCTGCTACATTACTTAATAATTAATGTTAATTATATTCTGTTTACCTTGTTACCTGTGTTATTGTTGTGTTTATTTATTTCTGATATCTAGATATATTATTGTTGAACAAATCCTATAAATAATAACTTATTAGTACCTTTCTACTATATTTTCTGCTAAATTACTTAATAATTAATGGTAATTCTATTCTGTTTACCTTGTTACTTGTGTTATTGTTATTATTGTTGTTTATTTATTTCTGATATGTAGATATATATTGTTGAACAAAATATAAAAAAAGAATGTTTCCAAAATATATGATTCTCCCATTTGTCCAATAGATAGAGGTAAAGACTTTCACATGAACTGTATTGAGTATAACAGAGGCTGAATTAAAGGTAAAGTCTTTTTCTAAAA